GGATGATGGATGTATGATGGATGGATGGATGGATGATGTATGGATGATGGATGGATGGATGATGGATGTATGATGGATGGATGGATGATGGATGGATGGATGATGGATGGATGATGGATGGATGGATGATGGATGGATAGATGATGGATAGATGATGGATGTAAACTGTAGATATTAACCTTATATTAGGTGCAGTTGCAGTAGAGTCAGATCTTGTATTATAGAATCAGATTACACATAAGGTTGTTTTACACTTTGGTTAAATCAGATACAACCTCTGTTTTTACCTTTAAACTAACCATTAATTACAGTCAGATATCAGTTTAAAACTGTCAAAGATGGCAGGACATGTGCATTCCTTAGATCAACTCTAGAGTTTTTTACCTGACTGGGTTTGATTTATTTGTTAGTTAAAACATTTTGTTTGTTCAGCAGAAATTATTATGTGATGTAAAGCAAAATGAAAAGTTTTCATTTATATTTTCAAACATGTTTTCAGGAAGCACTTGTCCATCACTTCATAGATCTGTTTCTCAGAAGTCAAGTCCTCTGAATGTCTGAATCCATTTTTGTTTTTTGATTTACAGGACAGGACAGAAACACAAACACAGAGAGACCCGGACTCATCTGGTCCTGGTTCTGAAGCCAACAATGAGCTGCTGAGCAGACGACCGCCTCCCATCAAAGGATGAGTGTGTGTGTGTGTGTGTGTGTGAGGGGGTCATGGTGACAGACAGAAGCTGACTCCCCTCAGTCAGTCAGCACATTGATCAGAAACACAAGTTTCACTTGTTGTTTTGTGTGGATCATCACAGGATGAAACATCTGGTGGTGCTCTGAGCTGCAGGAACAACAGACTGACTGAAGCTCCTGACTGTGGTGCAGTTGTGTGAAGCAGCTGAAGTGTTACAGAACCCACACTGTTTGCTGTGAAACACATTATTGTTCCTTTTCTAAAAGTGGACAAACATCATGGGAACACTGCCTCGAACACTTTGTTTGGTTTGATGATCGCACGCYAACTCCAACTGAGCAGATATGAAGGTTGACTCCACCTGTACCTCCACCTGTACCAAACATGATCATCTGAAAATATTTACTGTCTGTTTTCACTGTWTCAACTTCCATCCACATTTTCACAACTGCTCCAAAGCTGTGCAAAAAAACTGCACAAAGSCTAGATCCTGCTCAGGACCATGTGACTGCTGGTTGTAAACCATCATATGACCAGATGTACAAACTGGTGGAATAAACACAGCTGAATACCTCAGACAGACCTCACACTGCAAACATTATTTGAGTTGAAATGGTTAAAAACTGCACTTCATGCTATTGTGTTGTCTATTTTTATAGTTTTTACATTATTCAGGAGCTTTTACACAGAATGATCAACTGAAGATGTGATCATGTCAAAAACACTTTTAAAACTTTACATTTTTGCCTTTTTTAATAACTTTGCAGTATTTATACAATGTATACATGAAAGCAGACATGTTCATGTCCTTTCATTATGTGGGTCAATATAAAATGTAGAGACACTTCKGCTTGTTTAAAGCTAAAATTGGACTCTTTTTATATTCACTTACTGCTTATTTTACTTTTATGTTACAGGACATTTTCTGTTACCTCTAATCTTATAAACAASTCTGACTCTGACTCTTGAACAGTTTATGAATCAAAATGTCATTTATCAGTTTATATTGAACAAGTCAATTCCAAATTACTGTTAAAGTTTAAAGAAGAAACTTGTTGGATGTTAGAATTTAGAGCAGTATTTGCATTAAACCTTTCCGAACGACTTTTTTATGTGTATTTTTTATGTAAACAGTAAATAATCCCTAATATCTTTGAACTGGATTAAAATAAAGTGGCCTATCTTTGCCTAAAATTTCTGTTTACATTTTCAAAAATCATAAATTTAACTTCATCTCAAGAAACTGAGCATAATGAAAAAGTCATTGAATCTACCGGTAGTTGTTCTTTTGTTTAAAGTGTAAATGTGAAAAGATAACACAATTAAGGCACCATTTAGACAATTAATCTGTAAAAAAGTTGATTTATGATTTAGTTACTCTGTAAGTGTGACACAAAATGAGAAAAGAGAAGAGTCAACAACTCAATGACATCTGCTCTAACATCCTCAGAAGAAGTAGCAGATGTGATTTGTTACCTTCTTTCAGAGTTTTGTCGACATTGTGTGACACCACCACTCGTCTGCTTTGGCTCGACTCCTGAGCTGGCACCAAGAAACCCCCCTGAGGAAGAAGAAACACCAGATCACTTCTCAGCTGCCTCAGGTGGGAGAAGAACAGAAATAAAAACACAGTGAGAAAGATGGAGGCAGTGAACAAAGGCCCTGTCACAACTCACACAACATGACAGACACACAAATGTTTGTGACAACCTCCCTCCAACGTCACAGTTAATCAATCATCAGCAGCTGAAAGGCAAGCGAGGAGCCGTTTTCAGAGAGAATACATGACCAGTCATCGTGTGTGTGTGTGTGTGTGTGTGTGTGTGTTAAAGTCAGAAGCTCATCAATAATAGATCAAGAGAAGAAGCTAAAGCAGGAAATCTGAGTGAGCAGAGTTCTGCAGCTTGAACAAAAGCAGCCAGGTGTTTACAGCTTCTCTGACTTGTACAGTTTGTAGTAAAACCTTGTAAAAATGTTACACAATACTGATTGTGATCAGTGGCACCTGCACAAATTTATGATGTGTTTGTAAAAATAACTAGTTGAAAACTATGGCTATATAAAGCTACGTTTTTTGCAAAGCAGTGTTTCCCCTACCATTATACAGCCCCCCCCACCATTATACAGG